TCCCTATTTGTCAAGTTCTCTTCTTTTCTTCTTTTTTTCTTTCCTTCTCTCTTTTTTTCTTCTTTTCCTCCGTCTTCTCCTTCTTCTTCTTCTCCTTCTTATCCTCCTCCTTTTCTCTCTCCCCCTTCCTCTCCCTCTCCTTCTCTTCCTCCTCCTCTCTTCTTCTTCTTCTTCTTCTTCTTCTTCTTCTTCTTCTTCTTCTTCTTCTTCTTCTTCTTCTTCTTCTTCTTCTTCTTCTTCTTCTTCTTCTTCTTCTTCTTCTCCTCCTCCTCCTCCTCCTCCTCCTCCTCCTTCTCCTCCTCCTCCGCATGTATCCCTGAGTCCTATAGCCGCGCAAGACCACAAATCTACCCCTTGTTTACGGCGATGAGTCTCTCCATCTTGCACACTTCCACTTCTTTGTGTGTCATTTCCTCCATGTCTCGCGGGTCCTTGTTTACCTGACGCAGATTTGGCGAGAGCTTGAGTGATATCAGGTGGCCTCTGGGATAGAGTGAGACAGGGTGCTTACTAGTTGGATTTCTGAATGCTATTTTCGACACAGGTTTTAAAATGGTAAATGGAACACATGGATTTAATGACAAAGTGTAGTTAGATGATATGTTATTCACTGTCTTGTTTCATCTGAACTATTTTGTCCCATGTTATATATAACTATGTGGAATTACATGTAATTCTTTTCCGAGATGTTTCATGAAGTTCCCCTCATCGACGACTAAGCACAAACCACATCTCAAAGTATATCATTCTATACCAAAATCCAATGCAAAATACCAAATGTCAAAGCCCTCTTCCTAAAAAGTAGTACTTGTAGGTACAGTTTAGGAACCTTTAATGGGCTTCTTTTAAGCAATACAGACTCGACGAAATTCAAACTTACTTTTCGCCGCCGATGAGGATGATCGGGTGGTACGTGTTGAAGGAGAGGCTCGTCATCACCACACGCCGCTTCTGCATCACACTCTGAACGCACAGAGGTCGTGACTGCCGGACGTGGAGGTCGTACACGTATATCCGACCTTCGTCTGTCACCGCTACGAAGACGCTGCTGCTGAAGGCCGACCAGCTGGCGGCGGCCACGGAGCCCCCCATGTCCAAGGTGATAAGGGGCGTCCTGCAAGCGTGAAGGGGGAGGGGGAGAAGGAAGTAGAGGGATGGTAGGGCCCACAAGGGGAATGGAGGATTACCACGTGTTTTTATAGCTATGAATCCATCTGTCTATGTATCTTTCTATCTATCTGCCTATTTATCTTTGCGTTTGGTTTTTATACTCTAATGGCAAAAGGAGGGTTACTGCAGCTTTATTAATTTATTTATCGATTTGTCTTTAACTACTCTTCAACTACATTCAGATGCTTCAACAGCAAGACGTTTACTTTATGTATGACAACATTCCTTCTTATATATAATACAAAAATATGTAACTAAAGAATGATACCTGTCATAGGCTATAATGATAATGATATAAAAGATAATAGTAGTATCAATAGTTGTAGTAGCACGAGTAGCAATACTACTACTACTACTACTACTAATGATGATGATGATGATGAATAGGATAATTCTAACAATAATTACAATAACGGTCGCAACAATAACAATAGAAATAATATGAATGATAGCATTAATAATAAATATAACAACAACAACCCTAATAATAATAATGACGATAATGGTGATCCCACTTACAAGAAGAAAATAATAACAATGATAATAATGATAATCGCAATAACAAAAACAATAATGATAACAATAGTAATGATAATGATGAAAATAAGAGTAATAATAACAATAACAATAACAGTGTTGACAATGATAACAATAATGATAATGATTATAACAACAACAACAGTAATAGTAGTAGTAATAATAATAATAATAATAGTAATATTAATAATAATAATAATAATAATAGTAATAATAGTAATAGTAATAATAATAATAATAATAATAATAATAATAATAATAATAATAATAATAATAATAATAACAGTACTAATACTAATACTAATACTAATACTAATACTAATACTAATACTAATACTAATACTTCTACTACTACTACTACTACCACTACTACTACTAATGATAATAATGATCAAAATAATAATGATATTGATAATTATAATGATGATAATAATAATGATAATAATAATAATAATAATAATAATAATAATAATAATAATAATAATAATAATAATAATAATAGTAATAATAGTAATAATAATAATAATATTAATAATAATAATAATAATAATAATAATAATAAAAATAATAATAATAATAATAATGATAATGATAATGATAATGATAATGATAATGATAATGATAATGATAATAATAATAATTATTATTATTATTATAATTATTATATTATTATTATTATTATCATTATCATTATCATTATCATTATCATTATCACTATCACTATCACTATCACTATCACTATCACTATCACTATCACTATCACTATCACTATCACTATCACTATCACTATCACTATCACTATCATTATCATTATCATTATCATTATCATTATCATTATCATTATCATTATAATGATAATAACAACAATAATGACAGTAATAATGATGATGATAATAAGAAACACAGTAGTAACAGTAAAATACTGATGAATATAAACATTATTACGATAATGAAAATGATAATAAGTGGTAATGCTATTAACAACATTTGCAATACAGACCAGAACTGAGCACTCACGTATTATCCTGGAGCCAGACTTTGACCGACCAATCTATGGAACAAGAGATGAAGATCTTGTAGTAATACTTGTTCCAGCCCACATCTCTCACGGGCGCAGAGTGGGCGGGGTAACGGATAAAAGTGTGTGAGGAACAGGAGACGGAACACTGGATAACGAGGCCTGTGTCAATTCCTACAAGGAGTTCGCTCTCATTGTCCGGTCTGAAGTCTATACACGTACCTGTGCCTGTGTGTTATGGTAAGGGAGAGGATGTTGGTGAGAAGTACCGTAATTGCTTGATAATACTGATGGAGGGGTTTTGATGCTAATTGTTTTTACGTGGAATTGTTGGTACTGTTGTTATTATTATCTCTTTTATAGTTACGTGAGGTATTATTGTTAGGTTTGTTTTATCACATACACAACATTTTTAACGATTAATGCAATGTGTCAAATACATTTGCATCATTATAACCATATCACATGATATCCCTACTTAAACAATAACCGTACGCAGAATATGTCTGGTGAATAAGTCTGCGTTCGCTGAAACCCATATTTAACTATATACTACACGAACGATGCATCTGTAGTTACAAGATATTTACTTGCATATATATTCTCACCGGACATGTTTGTTTATTTGCACTCAAGCTCATTATTAAAAACGGAAGCACTGTCCCTGCATCTTTCTCGTGTAACGTACTCTTTCCCACACAAATTGAGCTGAAGTGTGTAATCCACAGGAAACATATCACCGAAGTAGGTGACTGGACCTACTGTATTAAAACTATATGAAACTGTTTTTATATCCTTTGACTTACCCCTCATGTTGGTCCATCTACACTATTTCTACACTACTTAGCTTATGTTGCATACTAGCCCTGTTTTATTCTCGTCTTTTCTTCCACGACTATTTCATCCTATCTTCTAAAAGCAAAATGTTTTGTTTCTATTATATACAAAAGTGATATTTAGCATGGCCGTACCAGCAAACTACAGAATCCTGACCGAAAGAAGGCTCGGGAGAAATGGTCAGCAATTCAAAGAGTGATCCCCAGACCCTGAACTCTTAATATTAAGTACTACAAATACTGCAAACGGTTTCAGAATATACGCATATCGCGTAAAAAATCGGGGTCATATTATGTATGTTAAATCTACTGTGGCTCCCATAATCTGTTGGAACTCCCATGCATGATCACAGAATAGCTATGGAATATCGTCTGCTATGATCCCACAACATATCAGAATCTCAAGATGCCAAAAAGCTGCACCATAAAATACCATGAACATTTAAAAATCTACATCTGACATAGGAAATGTTGGAGTAATATGTTGATCTGACCGCAAAAATTAGGCATAGATTTTAGCAGTTGGCAGGTGTATGATACAAGCAGCGTAAAAAAAAAAAAAAAAAAAAAAAAAAAAAAAAAAAACAGGCATAAACTTTATATTGAAAAATACAATCGAATACTCGTACACTACATGTCATATAGTGTTTCAGGTCGCTTAGCAAGATGCAACAGAATGGAGTGATTTTAGAAAATCAACAAATATTCCCTCATGCAAACTACACACCTTCCAGAGAATTTTTATCACTTTTGGTGTCCTGAGTGAAGCTAAAAATGTCTTTGGATTTTAACCGAGAATCGCCGAAGTACCACTGTGTGAGGCGACCATCTTTTGCCACAGAGAAGAGGGAGAGATCTTCGCCAGGGTCAGTATGTACCCACTTCACCTGGATTGGAAAATACATGTATGATGAAAAATCGGCGGAACTAGGTGCAAGAAGTGGGTTCACTGGTATATGTGTAGGGCAAAATAGAGAAAAGGTTGTTGTATATCTAACATAATATTATGATTGCATTTTTAATTTCTCCTTTTCCTGTGTGTGTCTCTTTCTTATTCTTGAATCAATCTTAAGGAGAAGCAGCAATTAACAAGTGAGCTGTAATACCAAAAGTAGAAGTAGTAGTTTACACAACAACAAAATGGTTAAATACAAATTAGAATATCCAGTTACTTGTCACAAGAAGACAGAGCAAAATACCAAAAGCACTTACCTTACACACGGGAAGAATGTGCTTGCCGTTCATGGCCGTGGAAGCAACTGCTCTTATTGCATCTACGGATTCTACGTTGTACACAACCACGGTCCCGTCGCTCCAACCCGCTGCCAGCATACTGCCGCGCTGGGGAATGTACAGTTTGTTTTCCTGTCTTATTCTTCCGTTATCCCTCTGTCCTATCTCCCGTCAGTCTCAAGGTCTATTTCCATTATGTAATGTATTTGACATTTGGTATTGCATATTTTAAAAATATTTTGATTAGTACTGTGTATCAAATAAAGAATATGTATCTTACAGAAAACTAAGCAGATCAAATTACGTTGATAATCTTTCGGAATAATAAAAGGAGAAAAAAACTGCGTAAATAGCTCCACTGTAGTAAGTACGAAGGAAAAATCAGATATAAAAAAATCGATAATTGATAGCACGCAACTAGTAAAGATAAACTAAAATACAGAAAACACTAAAAGTCACACTCAATTTATATCTTCAATCAGCATGAAAGACCAGCGTAAAAAGGAATAGGATAAACAGTGTTCATTGTGACAAATGCAGAAAAAATATGAATGAGAAAGAATATCTCCACAGAGCAAGTAATATATTTGTCGCGTTTCGATCATATCCTCATCAGAAATACAATGAAGATATATTCAAAACGCATCAAATACACGTCTTGCAATCTAAAGATACTCCTTCCTCATTCATACTTTTTTTCATGAACAGTACAGAAAAACACTAGACTTCTATAACTCCTTTTCGTACCGTAGGATGAAAGCCGACACACATCACACTGCAAGGCGAGCGCAGAGTTCTTTCTGGACACGCGGGGTTCTTAAGGGTGAAAAGACACAGCATCCCCGCACCGTCGGTCCCGCATATGTCTCCTGAAGGGGGAGGAGGGAGAGAGGGGAAAGGGAGTGTAAGGAGGGTGGATGAGAAAAGGTGAGGGTGTGTGTGTGTGGAGGAGAAGAAGGAGGAAGAGGAGGAAGGAGGGGGAGGTAGGGAGGGAGCAGGATGAGGATGGCGAATAGATGAAGGAGAAGGAGCAGGGAGGACGGAAGGAGGAGGGGGAGGGGGAGGGGGAGTCGGAGGAAGGGAAAGGGGTTCAGGATGGGCAGGAGGGCAGAGGGAAGGGAGAGGGAGAGCAGGAGTAGGAAGAGGAGCAGAAGAAGAGGAAGGGAAGGGAGAAGAAGAGAGAGGGGGAGGAGGGAGAAGAAGAATAAGAAGAAGAAATGGAGGAGGAGGTGTGAAAAAGAAACAAGAGAAACAGGAAAATAATAAGAATTTATTTAGAAGTTGTGGAATACCAAGAAGGAGAAATTGAAAAAGGAAAAAAAGCGATTGATGGAGACAAAGTAAAGTAAGAGCCTTAAGAGAAAAGAGGAAAAAGGGGATGAAAATAACACAAAAGCAATAAAGATCCATGCACTTAAAACAGAACGTAAGAAAGTAAGATATCCAATGAGCAAAGCCAAAAACGATGCTAATTATAACAAGCTGAGTTGTACATATAATAAACACTTATCCTCAACACAAACCTTAGTAAATCTTATATGACCTATGCTGAGAGGGAGCGAGGTTATCGTGACCTGATCAAAGGGTCAGAGAACAAAAAGAAGATAAAGTGTGAACTTCTCGAAATGACCTATTTATGCTGTCATATGTGACGTACGTTAGAACAGCCCTGGGTCATTTTATTGTTTTAGCTGTCAAAAAAATATTCTTTGCTATGTCAACTTTACTTGTGTTATGACTTCCTGGGAAAAATTACTGTCATAATTTTAAATCACTCTTTTATCAAGATTTATGATTATGTTTTCTAGCGTGTTTGTGTATTTCTTGTTCCTGACTGACGATCTTAGCATCGTGATTATCAATGTCAAACTTTTTGCATTTTGTTCTCATTCAATCGTTAATTTTGCTCGGACTATCAATATATAAATCAGTCTTTACGTCTTGTAAAACTCCATCTGGAGTATTTTTTTTTCTCTTTCGTAATCCTTGATTTAGTTCCTTTATCTTTTAACCACCTTGCACCTACTTCATTAGCATTATGCATATTCCGCTCTCACAGTGGTTATTACTGATATACGCTCTATATCATCGATATATCCACATATCTACAAGAATAGTTCGTATATATGCCCACACCTTCAACACTGAATCCACACATCACCACCTTCACAGAAATCATTCATGCACGTCCGTATACGCACACACACCCATCTCCATACATGCACCAACCCCAATCCACACATACCCACACACCTCCAGAAACGCACCCACACATCCACATAAACCCGCAGACCTCTCTCACACGCCAACTAACCCACAGTGTACGCAGCGGCGAAGAGATCAGGATAAACTGGACTCCACGTTATATCCGAAACCACAAGATTACGGGAATTATCGTGACTGAACTTCCAGAGAGGCAACAAGGAACCTTCTAGTGGGTGGTACTCGTCGCCTCCATCCTCCCAGTACTTGAAATCTGGAAGGAAAAGAGACAAAAATGTAGAGATAAAAAGTTAGAGGACAATAAATAGGTGGAGGGAATAGACAGAAAGACAGAGGGGAGAGGAAGGGAGAAAGAGAAACAAAGATATCCAAGGAGAAAGAGATACTGCAGTGAAAAAGGAGAGAGACAGATAAGGAGAAGAATATTATATAGTTTATCAGTATCATCATCATTATATACCTTCTTATTATTATTATCAATTAATCCCCCCTTCCTTTTGCCGCGATCGAATTTACTGCAAGTAAACATTATCAGCCTCTTCCTTTTTCTAATTCTGCTCCCTTTCTTCTCTCGTGATTAAATTTGCAAACAAGCATTATCGTTAATATCAACCCTTCCCCCTTTCTATTTTCCCACCTTCCCTCTGTCGTGATCGAATCTGCAGACAAGCAGCTAAAGCAATTACAGGCAGAAATTATATAAAAAAGAATGACACTAAATTTAAATCTTAACACCGCAACATAAAACCGGGAATCTTTTTTGTATTATTTTACATTATACAATTTATTAGTATCATTATCATCACTTTTCATTGTTATTATTATTAACACTTCTCCCTTTCTCATCCTGTCCCCTTCTTTCTGTTGTGAATAAATGTGTAGACAAGCTCACACACATCCGCTGAAGCAGTTTGCAAGCAGGTAGGAAGATATGGGAAAACATGATTAGAGCGCAACAGCGCTACATAAAAAACAAGGGAACCTTCGGCATTTTTGTACCATTATTTTACCTTACATATTTCATCATTGTTACTATATATCATAATTTCTTGCCGGTATCACTGACACAATCATTTATTATTATCAATATTTTATTATCATCATTATTATTATACATTTTTTTTCCATTATTGTAAAGAATGTCCTGTCCTTAACGATAAGGAAAGCAACTCTGTTGAAGCAACTGGAGGCAGAAAGGCAGAAAAGAAGTAGAGCGCAACAGCGCCACATAAAACAGGGAAACTTTCAGAAAACTTTCGGCATTCTAGTATTATTCATTCTATTTTTGTTATTATCATTATATATTCTATATTCTATTAGTGACATTTTCATTATACATCTTACTATTATTTCACCTTTTTATTTTCTCCCTTCATGCAAAAAAAATCCTTTTCAACAAATGTAGGCAGAAAGGAGATAGAAAAGAAGGTTTGAGCGCAACAGCGCCACATAAAACAGGGCAACTTTCGGAAAATGAAATTGCGAGGGGATTCTGTTCTAATTAGGTAGTTGGATTGTAAATTAGTCTATATCTACAGTCTGCATTCTGTGGATGGGGGATAGACCAATATCAGGAGGAAAAATATTGCAAAATGTATGCTGTCTTCATTCCTTATTTGCCTACCGATAGGAAATAATCTGGAAACAATATAAGAATATCCATCAGATCTTGTGCGAATAGGCCGTTTCGAATCCTTCTCACAACACTGGTCCGAATCCTTAGTGATAAAAACTTATCTCGCCTTTTTTATTTCAGTATCTTTATAAATCTAAAACAATTAATGACTCATCATTATTCATCTTTAAACTTTCTTTATATTTCAAGATTCAGAATTTGGCTCGGATTTCACAGGCCTAGAAAAATATCCCCTAAATAAATACAATTTCTGTTGTACCCTTGATCAGAAGAAAATGGCGGTCATTACAGAAAAATGACAGCCTGACAAAAAAAAAAAAAAATGAGACGAGATAATCCGATGACAGAGATTCGCCAGGACGTCATGCTGTCGCCTTTTATATTTGTCTGTGTTACAATTTTATTAATGTAATTTTGTAACGGCTACGTTGTGAGCGTGTACTAAAACTTCTATCGGTTTGTGTACATGTACTGTAAGTACGCTACCACAGTCTTAGTAAAATACCAAAACTCACCGTTTTCATTTTTTTCAGTGAATGAAATTCCTGTCAAATAAGGCACCTAAAATTAGAAACAGATAATGACCCATGTACGTGCTAAAATTGTCATTTACATAAATACTCCTTTTTGTAAGCATGCGTTCACACGCATGTTCGTTCACCCCTTTCAACCCACCGCCCTTTCCCTCGATTGTGATCGAATTCACAGACAAGCAAAATCATTAATTGAAGCAATTGCAGATGTTGAGATGAGTAGAGCGCTGAAGCAAAGAAGACTCAAGCGCAAAAGCGTGACATAAAACAGGGGAACCTTCGGCATTTTTGTATCTGATCATACATTATACATTTTTAGTACCATTTTTGTTATATATCATACATTTTATCAGTATCGTTTATAATATACATTATGTATTTTATTAGTATCATTGTCATTATACGTTATTATCATTATCAACCCCTCCCCTCTTTCTATTTTCTTTCCTTCCGCTACAGCAAATGGCAGACAGAAAGTATGCAGAAAAGAAGACTAGAGCGCAACAGCACCACATAAAACAGAGCAACCTTCAGAAAACGAAACACTGAAGGGAATTTGTTCTAATCTGGTGGTTGGATAATAAATTCCTTTGCAAATAATTTAGACCACTACTTTAACATCGAAGAGGAATGGCTATCCGTATAAGCTGAAATAACCTTACCGGTTCTCCTAACAAATATTACAACCATAAATCGATTCAGGTGAAAAACACGAACCTATCCTGATGAAAATATGTCGCCTGTTTTAGCTTGCTATCTTTAGGAATGCCTCATCTTTAATGTTTCTTTATCATTTTACATTATACATTTTATTTGTATCTCTATCGCCATATTCTCTCTTCCTCATCCGCTTTCTCTCTCTCACGAATCCACTGAAGCAATTTGTAAGCAGCAAGGATGTGAAAAGAAGACTAGATGACAACAGCGCTACATAAAACAGGAGAACTTTCGGCATTTTTGCATCATTACACATCATACATTTTATTATTATTATTTGTTATCATACATCATACATTTCAAGAACATCATGATATTATACACTATACGTTTTATTAGTATCTTCCTTACAGACAAGCAAAGCATCTATACTGAAGCAACAAGAGGCAGAAAAGATATAGAAAAGATTTAGAGCGCAACATAAAACGGAAACTTTCACTAATCTTGTATTATTAATTTAATCAGTATCATTATTATTATGTAAGCCTTACATTAGTATCATTCGCATTGTATGATTTTATTATTATCATTATCAACCCTTCATCCTCCCTTTCTATTTTTTTCCCCTTCAAGCAATCGCAGGCAGAAAGGACGTAGAAAAGAAGACTAGACCGCAACAGCACCACATAAAACAGGGGAACTTTCGGAAAACGAAGCACTGTGAAGAGAATCTATTATGATTTGGCAGTTGAATTGTAAATTAATCTATATCTATATTTTAGGCTGTGGATAGGGAATAGAACAGTAGTGGGATGGAAAAAATTGCAAAGGTATTTTATGTAAGAATATATATAAGAAATATCCATTAGATTTTGTGCGAAAAGGCCGTTTCGAATCCTTTTCACAACACTGGTTCTAATCCTTAGTGATAAAAAAAAATATCTCGCTTTTTTATTTTACTATCTTTATAAATTTTAAGCTAATATTGTCTCATTTTTATTAATCTCTCTTTTTCTTTATATTTCAATATTCAGAAGTTTACTTGGATTTCTTTATTTCCACAAAAAAATACAGACCGAGAAAAGTGTCCCCTAAATAAATACAAAAGAAAATGGTGGTAATTACAGAAAACTGACAGCCCTTCTGCCAGACAAAAAAAAAAGAAGAAAAAAAAACGAGACACGCCGAAGACAAAGACTCACCAGGACGTCATGCTGTGACCTTTCATATTTGTGCATTGTATTATTGTAATTTTGCAATGGCTACCCTACGTCAGCGGATGTCATCCTGTGAGCGTATATTAAAACGTAAAGTACATTATATTTACAGACAAGCAAAACCACCAGCTGAAGCAATTGTAGGTAGAAAGGAGTAAAAAAAAAAAAAAAAAAAAAAAAAAAAAAAGCATAGCATAAAACAAGGGAACCTTTGGCGTTTTGTTTTATCATCATGCATTACATGCTATTATCATTATTATCAACATTTCCCCCTTTCTGCTTATTTTCCTTTCCTTCTGTCCTGATCACATTTGCAGACAGGCAAATGAGATCAGTGACTAGAACATAACAGAACCACGTAAAACAGAGGAACTTTCGACATATTCGTGTTCTTACATTATACATTTTATTAGTATCATGATGCATTTTCTTCATATCATTGTGATCATACATTATACATTTCACTAGTAGCATTATTATTTTACATTGCACATTTTATTATTATTATACAGTATACATTTTATAAGTATCATTATTGTTATAATTCTATCATCATTGATATCAACCCTTCTACCTTTCTATTTTCCACTTCCCTTTTGTCGTGATAGAATTTGCATACAAACATGTATCCGCTGAAGCAATTACTGGCAGAAATGATATAGAAAAGAAGACTAAAACACAACCCCGAAATATAAAGCCGGGGAACTTCCGGCATTTTTGTAGTATCATTTTACATTATACATTTTCTGAGTATCATTATAATTCTTATTATTATTATCATAAAACAAGGGGGCTTTCGTCATTTTTGTATAATTATAGTACATTATACACTTTATTGATGTCATTTTTGTTGTCATATATCATATATTTTATCAATATCGTTAATACTATATTTTAGACATTTTTGGCTTTATCTGCAGCGGTGTTGGACATACGAATCAAAAAAATTAACAAAACCAGCCGTTACACAGAGCGTTCTGTGCCCAACGGGTTGTTTACATGTACGAAAAATAATATGATTATTATGGTAATTGGGTTTTGAATGTTTTGCACCAATGTCACATCACGTAAGAATGACGTCTTATTGTCCCAAAAAATGAATATATTACTAAACTTGCAGAAGCTTGAAATTATTTTAAGTTGAGCAGCAAAATAAGATCAAAGATAAAACAGTTTATTAGTATTATCATTATACATTCTACTAGTATTACAAACACTTCCCATTACTTCTGTCATGATCGAGTTTACAAACAAGCAAAGCATATTTGTTGAAGCAACTGGAGGCAAAAAGGATGTGGAATTTTGAATAGTGGACAATAACTTTCGGCATCATTATCATATCATTATTAGTGCAATTCTCATTATCCATTTTATCATTATGATCAGCCCTTCCCCGTCTCTATTTTCCCTCTCCAAGCAAATCCGCTGAAGCAACTAGAGGCAGAAGGTGTAGAAAAAGAAGGCTAGAGCGCAACAGCACCATATAAAACAGGGCAACTTTCGGAATGAATGAATGGAATCTCTTTTCTAACTTAGCAGTTGTACTGTAAACTAGTTTGCAAATAATTCAGAACAATATTTTGCAATTGCAAGTGAAAAAGCTAGCCTGAGTCTCAATAGTCAGATAACGAAAATCTTGTACTGTGTGTAATAGCAGGTGGGAAAATATTGGAATTTTATTCTAATTTCATCCCCTACTTTTCTACTGATCCAGTATGAATGTAAGAAATATTCATCAAACACTATGCGAATAGGCCGTTTCGAATCCTCCTCACAATAGTGGTTCGAATCTTTAGTGATTTAAACATGACATTTTTTTTCATCACCTTTATAAACCTAAAGCAAATGTTGACTCATTTTTTGTTTATCTTTGTACTTTATATATCAAGACTCAGAATTTAGCTCGGATTTCTTAATTTCCATGAAACTGGAAAAAAAATCACTGGTCTAGAAAAGTCTGCCCTAAATTCATAATTTTATACATTTTATTATTATATGCATGTTATTATCATTATTATCAACCTTTTCCCCCTTTCTAATTATTTCCTTCCTTCTGTCGTGATCAAAATGTACAACAACCGTCCGCTGAAGCAAGTGGAGACTGAAAGGGTGCAAAAAATAAAGACCAGATCGCAATAGCGCCACATAAAATGGTAGAAAAAACACTAACTACTAAAACAATATCACAACATAAAACAGGGGAACTGATCGGCATTTCTGTATTATCCTTTTGCATTATACATTTGATTAGCACCATTATCATATTATGTTATCATTTTTTATTATCATTATTATTAGTACTATTATTATCAACTTTTTTCCCTTCCCCATCCTTTCACCTTCCTTCTCTCGTGAACAAATTTGTAGAAGCACACATCCGCTGAAGCAATTTGCAGACAGAAAGGTTGTGAAAAATGCGCAACAGCGCTCCATAAAACAAGGGGAACTTTCGGCATTTTTGTATAATTTTCATACATTATATATTTTATTAGTATTGTTATTATCATATATCATACATTTTATCAGTATCATTACCATTATACATTCAACATTTGATTAGTATTATTATCATAATACATTTTGTTATTATTATAATCACTTTCCCCTTCCTTCTGTCATTTTGTTGAAGCAACTGGAATCACGAAAAAATACTAGAACGCAACAGCGCCACATAAAGTAGGAGAACTTTCGAAAAAATAAACACTTGCGAAGGGAGTCTCTTCTAAATTGGCAATTTTGTTGTAAATTACTCTGCAAGTGATTCAGAGCACTATTTTAACATCGAAGAGGAACGCATATCCGTATATGCAAATATAATATTATTTTTTATCCTAACAACTGCCACAGACTTAGATCGGTTTAGTTGAAACTCAAAGTCAGTCAGAAATGCCAGATTACGGGAATCTATATTTTGGATTCTGTGGATGGGGGATGAAACAAATGCAGGAGAAAAATATTGGAAATGTATTTGATTTTCATTCCCTAATTGCCTACCGATATGAAATAATCTGGAAACAGTACGTACGTAAAAAAAATAACATTTATAAGATCTTGTGCGAATAGGCTGCTCTTGCCTTTTTTATTTTACTATCTATAAATCAAAGGTAAATGTTGACTCATTTTTTATTTCTCTTTCACGTCTCTGTTTATGACAGGATTCTGAAATTTACTTGAATTTCTTAATTTCCACGAACATGGGAAACATTCACTGACCTAGAAAAGTATCCCTTAAAAATAATGGCGTTAATTTCAGAAAACTGAAAACCCTTCCGCCAGGCAGAAAAAAAAAATGAGACGAGACCCAGTTAAGAGAGACAGATTCACCAGGACGTCATGCAGTCACATTTTCAATTTGTATGTGTATCTATTATTGTGATTTTGTAACGGCTACGCTATGCCAGTGGATATCATCAACTACCTATGAGCCCATATCACAATGTAAAGCGCGTTATACTGAATTGTGTATATGTAAGCTGCCTCAATCTTGATAATGTACCAAAACCGGTTTTTTTTTCTTTTTTTTTCTGTTTTTTTTCTTTTTCAGTAAGTGAACTTGCTGTCAAATAGGCATTTAAAATTAAAAACAGATATGCAGTGGTAATAGGCTAACTATTACCACAACATGTTATAAACATTTTGAATGAATTGGGATAAGGAAGTCTTATATTCACTAAATTTACACGAACACAGTGGTGATATATCGAAAATATGGTGGAGCTGTCTCTAGTGTTTACTTAGTGTCAATATCCAGCACTGGCCTCTGAAACTGTAACAAATCAGAAAATCTAAGCTTTTTACCTCTTTGAAATTATTACAATCGCCACCCCACTATCCTCTTTCTATCATTTTCCTCTTTGATTTCAGTAACCTCCAAAATCTAAAAAAAAAAATACTTTTTCTTCATTATTATCATTGCCTTTCCCCTCCATTCTGTCTCCTCCCTTATCTCTCTTCCGGTAAACAGAAATTCACAAGTAAAATTTTTATAATTCATCGATTTCATCATCACCTTTTCTTGCCTTCCTTCCACACCTTTTATACCAATAACCAAAATAGAACTCTCCTTCCTGCTCCCTTCCCCCTAACACCCCCTCCCCCCCTTTAACCAACAGACCCAAACCCACACCCCTCAAAACATACACACACACACACACATGAGCAAATAAATCAATTTAAAAATCATTACCTTGAGTGATGTCATCGTACAGATTTTGCGTTATCATTCGCTCCACGATTCTTGAAGTATTCGGCAGGCCAGGAATGTCACGGATTTCAGGCACATCTCGGGGGTTTCTCGGGGTTTCCGTGGGGGGCGGCGTGCTTCCGGGGCATTGCTGGGTGGAGGGATGTGCAGGAGGGAGATGTAGATATAGATAGATGGATAGATAGATAGATAGAGAGAGAGAGAGAGAAGTGGAGGGTTATATTGATAAATAGATAGATGGATAGATAGATAGAGATTAAAAGGGAGAGAGAGAAGTGGAGAGTTAGATTGATAAATAGATAGATGGATAGATAGATAAAGATTGAAAGAGAGAGAGAGAAGTGGAGAAGTAGATTGATAAATAGATAGATAGATAGATAGAGATTGAGAGGGAAAGAGAGAAGTGGAGAGATAGATTGGTAAATAGATATATGGACAGATAGATAGATAGAGATTGACAGGGAGAGAGAGAAGTGGAGAGTTATATTGATAAATAGATAGATGGATAGATAGATAGATAGAGATTGAGAGTGAATGAGAGAAGAGGAGAGTTAGATTGATAGATAGATAGATATAGATTGAGAGGGAGAGAGAGAAGTGAAGAGTTAGATTGATAAATAGAGAGTTGATAGATAATTTGATAGATAGATAGATGGATATTTAGATTACTAGAGAGACAGAGAGAGAAAGTGAGAATGCTATTATTCATACGAGACACATACCCTATAACTGACAAATATATACAGATTAAGGAAGAGAGGATACGAGAAAAGAGGAAAAATAAAGACGAAGAAGATGCAAAAAGGAGAACAAAACAGACGCCAAAAAAGGAAAAAGAACAAAGTTTAAAGAACAAAACAAGAGAGACAGAAAACAGAAAAAACAGGAAACGGTGAAAGAAAGTAGAGATGAAAATGAAGAAATAAAGAATACAAAAGAAAATAAACACCATTTTCTAGTAGTAATCGATGAGATGCAAAAAATAAGAAAATATAGAGGAAGAAGTGAAGAAGAAGGAAAGGGGGGAGAAATGAACAGAGTGAGGAAGAGTACGAAAAGACGGTAACAATAATGATAGAAAAAAAAACGAAGGAGAAGAGAGAAAAGAAGAAAAAGGGGAAAGAAAATCAAAACATGATTGAAGATACACGAAAAACTTCCAGTTAACCAACCATCTTCTCCGGCGTGAATGCCTTTTCCTTCTTCTTATCATCTCTTTCCTTCTCTATCTCCTCTTCCTTCATCTTCTGCGCCTTCATCTCGAAATCAATATTGTAGGCGTCGTAGATGACTGAGAAGCCGACATTATCCGAAAAGATTCTCGTGTTCGCGGGTTCAGTCTGTATCGCTATTTGCTGGAAGGGAAATTGACAGAAAATGTCAGGAGTTTTTTTCTCTCTCCCTCTCTTTTTTTCTTTTTTTCTTTTTTTCTTTTTTTTTCTTTTTTTTATATCTTTTCATCTTTTTGTGATATAGATCTTTTCTGCTACGTTTTCACATACACTGCCCCGCTTTCTCTAATTCTCCCTTTTCCCCTTTCACATTCGTGCTCAATTAACACTTTCCTCCTGCTTTCTTTCACCTCTCCTTTCTCGACCTTTCCTTCCCCTCCCTCCCCTCACTTTCCTTCAACCTCATGCCACGCTTTCATACTCTTTTCCCTCATCTTCAGTAAACCTCACGCTCTCCTTTTCCACTCGTTTTACCTCCTTGCCCCGCCTTCCTTCAGCCACACGCTCTCGAACTCTATGTCCTCCCCCTCTCCCCTAGCTTGCACTCAACCTCACGCAATCATTCTACCCTTCTCTCCCCCTCCCTCCCCTCACCTTCACGGAAATACACCCCCATCATCCTCCCTTTCCCTTACCTTCACTCGACCTCACGCCCTCATCCTCCCCCTCACTTTCTCCCCTTCCCTCCCTTCACTTTCACTCAATCTCACACCCTCATCCCCCCATCCTTCCCCTCACTTTAACTCAATCTCACGCCCTCATCCCCCCTATTCTTCCCCTCACTTTCACTCAATCTCACGCCCTCATCCCCCCCATTCTTCCCCTCACTTTCACACCCTCATTCTCCCCATCCTTCCCCTCACCTTCAGGGCGAAATGCGCCGTCTGTGACACGCGCTCGCTGAAGTTGAAAGGGTTGGCCTGCGCGTCTATTCTGGCCAGCTCCTCCTTCGAGACGACGCCGCAGTAAGGGTCTTCCTCCTCCTCCTGGTTCTCGGCTGCCATGGCTGGGGAGAGGGAAGAGGAGGGGGAGAGGGAAGAGGGAAGAGGAGGGGGAGAGGGAAGAGTGAGGGGGACAGGTAAGAGGAGGGGAGAGGGATGAGGGAGAAGGACGGGGAGAGGGACGAGGGAAGAGGAGGGGGACAGGGACGAGGAAAGAGGAGGGGGAGAGGGAAGAGGAGGGGGAGATGGAGAGGGACGAGGGAATGGGAGGGGGAGAGGGATGAGGGAGGAGTGAGGGGGAGAGGGACGAGGGAGGGGGAGGGGGAGCGGGACGAGGGAATGGGAGGGGGAGAGGGACGAGGGAGGAGGAAGGGGAGAGGGAAGAGGGGAGAGGAGGGAGAGAGAGATGAGGGAATGGGAGGGGGAGAGGGACGAGGGACGAGGGAGGAGGAGGGGGAGAGGGACGAGGCAGGGGAGAGGGACGAGGGAGGAGGAGGGGGAGAGGGACGAGGAAGGGGAGAGGGACGAGGGAGGAGGAGGGGGAGTGGGACGAGGGAGGAGGAGGGGGAGAGGGACGAGGGAATGGGGGGGAGTGGGACGAGGGACGAGGAGGGGGAGAGGGACGAGGAGGGGAGGGGGAAGAGGATGGGGAGAGGGACGAGGGAATAGGAGGGAAAGAGGGACAAGGGAAGAGGAGGGGGAGAGGGACGAGGGAGGAGGAGGGGGAGAGGGAAGAGGGAATGGGAGGGGGAGAGGGATGGGGGAAGAGGACGGGGAGAGGGAAGAGTGAGGGGGACAGGTAAGAGGAGGGGAGAGGGACGAGGGAATGGGAGGGGGAGAGGGAATAGGAGGGAAAGAGGAACAAGGGAAGAGGAGGGGGAGAGGGACGAGGGAAGAGGAGGGGGAGATGGACGAGGGAGGAGGAGAGGGAGAGGGACGAGGGAAGAGGAGGGGGAGAGGGACGAGGGAGGAGGAAAGGGTGAGGGACGAGGGAAGAGGAGGGGAGAGGGATTGAGGGACGAGAGGGAAGGAAGTCATAGGATATGGTTAAGGAAGGCTGATTATAGTTCGTGTAATTTATATTTCATATTATCAGCGTTTATGTAACATGACAAGATAAATAGATAGATATATAAATAGATAGACAGATTGAGGGCGAGAGAGAGAAAGAGAGAGAGAGAGAGAGAGAGAGAGAGAGAGAGAGAGAGAGAGAGAGAGAGAGAGAGAGAGAGAGAGAGAGAGAGAGAGAGAGAGGATAGGAGAGAGAGAGAGAGAGAGAGAGAGAGAGAGAGAGAGAGAGAGAGAGAGAGAGAGAGAGAGAGAGAGAGAGAGAGAGAGAGAGAGTGAGTGAGAGAGAGAGAGAGAGGATAGGAGAGAGAGAGAGAGAGAGATGCATAAAAGTGTCACACTGGAAGCCATTGCTGACCCAAGAGCGCCGCTTTCGTGTAAGGATCGAGCTCCTCCTCGGGCTCCTCCTCCTCGGGGGGCTCGTTCCACAGGAGGTCCCTTGGGTCGAGGGTCAGCAGGTCCATGGTCAGATCCTGCTCCTCGGGCAGGAAGGTCTGCTTCGTGACGTCGAAGCGGACGGCGTTCTTGCGGAACTCGCTGTCGGCGGTCAGGCGGATCTCGACGATGCGGTCGCGGACCGGTCGCTTCTATGGGCGAGCGTGCGCACACACATATATACATTTTTTCATATGTACGTATATTTATATACATACATATATATACATACATATACTTATATACATATACATATATATAATACATTTATATACACACACATATATGTGTGTGTATATATATATATATATATATATATATATATATATATATATATATATATATATATATATATATATATATATATATATTATGTATGTATGTATGCATTCATGTATGTGTGTGTGTATCGAAATATGATAAAATATATTTCATTCATATACACCTATATTTCAGAAAACAGCCAGCCAGCCCCCTCCCCCCCTTCCCTCCTGGCCCCGACCTTGATCTCGAACATGGGCTTCACGTGCTTGGCCTGCGCCGGCTCCTTCTTGCCGTATTTCCTCCAGTGCACCTTCTTCTTCTCCGGCTTCGCCTTCTTCTTGGTGGGCCCCGCGCCCTGGCCCAGGACGGCGTTCATCCTGGCGGGGGGAGGGGGAGGGGCCATGAAATTAGGGGGGAAAAGTGTTTGTTATTTGTCGTTTGTTACGGTGACCATGTTGCTGTCATTTTTTTTTCAATACTGTTGTCATTATTATTATCATTATTATCATTAGTAGTAGTAGCAGTATTATTAGTTGTAGCATCATTATCATTATTAGTAGTAATAGTAGTAGCAGTATTATTATCATTTTTATCATTATGATTATTATCGTTATTATCATTATTGTTCTTGTTTTGCTATTGTTATTATTATCATTAGTATGATTTTTAACATTGTTATCATTATCATTATTTTCATAATTATCATTACTATTTCATTATCATTACCATTCTTATTACTATCATTATCGTTATCATCATTATTATGATCATTATTACGATTGCCATCATTTGATATCATTACCCTCTTCATAATCAAACTTACTTGCAGATCAACTTGAGTCGCTTCATCTTGTTCCCGGTGGGCCAGTGACTCACGCCCGTCTTCGAGGGCTGTCTCTTGAGGGGCGCCGCGGGCAGAGGGCGGACGGGGCGGGGCAGAGGTCCGCCTTCGGGCCCGCCCACGATCTGCGTCAGGCGGCTAAGCATCCGGAATCTCTTGACGGCGGCGGAAGGCTCTTCCCTGTGGCGGCGGCGGGGGGGTAGGAGGGGGGGTTAGAGAAGGGGTCTCATGGGGGGGGGGGGTAGAGAAGGGGTCTCACAGGGGGGGAGGAAGGGGGGTGGCTGCGATTTTGTTATTTGGGTTATTGCCTTGGGCTTTGGGGGAGATATAGTAGGTTCGATGTTTGCCTATACGTTTATGTGTATTTGCATATATATGTATGTGTGTGTGTGTGTGTGTGTGTGTGTGTGTGTGTGTGTGTGTGTGTGTGTGTGTGTGTGTGTGTGTGTGTGTGTGTGTGTGTGCATTTTTGGGGGATGGGGGAGAGATTGTGCCGTGAAAGAGATAGGACAGAATGGAAAAAGAAACTTTGTTGTTCTTTTTAAAAAGGATGAACTAAGTAGTTGCGGGAAGAGAACAGGCTCCGAAATTTCGACAACATAGCACACATAATATCCAGTTGATAAGCATCAAGCTAATTCAAACTTAAAAATTATCCAGACAATGTTGCATGCATACTTTGAAAACACGTCGAAAAAATAGAAAGGAAATATAAAGGCGATTCATTCATTTTGGTTAACCAAATTAAGGCCATCTGCTTTTTATTGTACCAAATACTCGCAAAAAAAATATTATATCGAGGGCATGCAAACAAATTAGTATAATACTCTGCAATTGGATAGAATATTCACAAGCGCTAGACTGAAGGCACTGAAAGAAATCATTATAATGTAGAGGAAACTATAGTGCAGGGGCTCCCAACCTTGGGGCTATGGCCACAGGGTACTTTCTGGGGGGCTATGGAGCAGTTAGAAAATTATGACATCGAATCAAACTGAATCTTATCTACCGACACCTATTCATAACTAATAATAACTGAATCTGAAAAGATATGTCACTGAACGGAGCCGTGGAGATTATTCTATATTGTCCAGGGGTCACAGAATGAAAGATGTTGGGAACCACTGCTTTAGTGTGTCCAATCTTAGGAAAAACACGAAACTGTCAGTCCTCCCTAGACTCTGGAGTGCTCGATTCCCGAAATTTCTTTTACCGTAAACAGCCGACAATGAATACTTAAATCTATGTATGTTTTATTGATCTATTTACCTATTTTATTTGATGCCTTCACCACTTACTTTAATATTTTTTTCTCAAAATAAACTTGGTAAATCGGAATTCTCGAAAGCCCAGAGTGAGTTGCCAGTTCTTCCATTCCTGAGATTGGACAGAGTATATAAACACAGCACAACGCTTAAGAATACACAAGCTACACCAAAAGGCTTTCAGTCTAAGGATATTTTCGTATTAAAAGATGACAGTTGTAACCTGAAGCACTGAAATAATTTATTCTTAACATTTATATTATGGAAATTTTGTTACTTGGGTTTAATATTGACAAATTTCACCAATTTCCCTATCTTATAACTTAGAATGTTGATACAGAATATGCTGACTATCATTTTTACTCATACACGTATCAGCACGATGTACCACATGCTAACCATGCGATAGGGTGTGTAAGAAAGAAATAACAAAAATATTATATCAGAGGAAGCTTCAAGAGTAGCAGTTGCGATGGAATGTAATTAAAAAGGTAAAGAAATGCAGAAATACTAATAGAATGATTACGAATAACCTTGTGACCGGCACCAATTTTACCATAAGCATCCAAAATGTAGTTTAAATTAAGGATACATCAGCTGCATAAAACAACTTCATACAAAAATCAAAAGGGAATTTAATACAAGAGAAGGGATTACTATAAGCTTCAAAAATTCGAGCCACAAAAGCCACACGCAGAAGATTAAGAAAACCAAAAAATTTAAGAAGACAACACCATTAACAGCGACAGCCATAAAGACACCAAAATTTTTGAAACCGAAAATAGTTACGCAGGTTTTTCTGAAGTTCCATCTTGCTCGCCATTTTCCGTCCTAAAAAAATTGGTAGAGAAAATTTATCAGTAAACACGGTCTATTCTTATCATATATTAGTTCATTTGGTACCTGTGATATCTTTTTATTTGTTTATTTTTACATATAGAAAAAATATCTGAACAATGCTTTACTATTTTCACTTAGGTTATTCTAATTTAAAATCTATATAAAAGTGGAATCTATTGACTAGATGAAAACATCAAGGTAAAATCTATGACAAAATATGCTGTAAATCTAACGTTGATGCAAATCTAGGCGACATAAGTATAGTATATGTAGTAGAGAAGTCGCGTAGATCCATTAGCATCAATATAGTCTAAGTCATTCCTAGTAACATTTAAAAAATTGGAATGATC